TTGGCAGCAGCTCGGCTCGCAGCCTCACAGACTTTTATTCATTTTAGCATGCTGTTTAACTGCCAACATGTGTTACCTGTTTCATTATTAGTATTTATGTTTATTGTTTTGGGTTTTACTTCATTTTATTTCTGTATTATTTATATTACCTGATTTATTTGCCTCGGTCCTGAGATGCCGATCCTGGTTCAACCATGTAAAGCACTCTGTCACTTTGTTTGTTTGAAAAGTGCTGTATAAATAAAGTTTATTATTACACTATATGATTATATCACATTACCCTGACGATGACAAAACATGTTATGTAGCCTACAGTTGTGGATTTGGGACTTTTTATTTTATGTTCAAAAATATGATGGTGCCTTATATTTACTTGTTCAAATATATTTCATGAGTTTGCTATAATATTTTTTAATTAAATAACCTTCATGTTTAACTGAGGAATTACTGACCTATTGTCCGCATGTTTAACAGCACTCTAATGGGGAAGAAAAGAAAACTTAAAGGCACTGTAAGTGATTAATAGCTCTACATTCTGACAGCAATCACTGATACAGAGTGTTTACTCAGTAATGTGTCTCCCAATCCCTCCTGTAGTAAACAGAGAATAAATGTTCTGGTATCCTGTTTTCATGCCACGCACCCCCACAATGGATGCACATTAGATCATGGAACCCCAATCTGGGTGGATTTTGTCTTGCCAAAGTGTTCATTTTTAGGTTTGATGATAATAAAGTCTTCATAGTCAATCATGATCAAATTAGAATCACTATACATTTATTTTTTATTTTACATATTATTTCAAAAGTATTCAATTCCTCTTTTTGCTGGGGACCCCCTACAACCTAGCCCCCAGTTTGAAAACTACTGGCCTAGTAGTGGTTCCCAACCTTTTTACTAACGGGAGCCCTTTTCTATCATTGAGTTAACTGTCGACCCCTGACTGACACATTTTATCAGATCAGAATCAGAAATACTTTATTGATCCCAGAGGGGATTTTTTTTTCCGTTGACTTCCTGTGGCGCTCTGTGGTGCATCTCGGCAGAATTCATTATGGAGTGGGTGGGAGACATTGTCCAAGATGGTTTGAAGCTTGGACAGCGTCCTCCTCTCTGACACTGCTGTAAAGAGTCCAGCTCCACTCCCACAGCATCACTGGCCTTGCGAATCAGTTTATTGAGTCTGTTAGCGTCCGCTACCCTCAACCTGCTTCCCCAGTAGACAACAGCAAACAGGATAGCACTGGCCACCACGGACTCATAGAACATCCTCAGCATGGTCCGGCAGATGTTGAAGGACCTCCGCCGCCTCAGAAAATAGAGCCCCTTCCTGTAGAGGTAGCCCAGTTTATTGTCAATGTACTTGTAGTCCTCCACCGTGTCCATGGACCATGTGGTTAGCCAGTGATCTCATGTTGCTCATGATAGGAGAGTGGAGACACCATAGACATATAAATGTTATTTATATTGTATGTCTATGGGAGACACTTCTTCAGACCCCATTGTTTCTCTCCGGTTTCAGCACGATCAGCCAGCTGGAGTAAACAAAGCAAAACACAGGCCCTAGTGAGGATTGAACTCACAACCCCTGGTTTTTCAAGACCAGTGCTCTAACCACTGAGCTAAAGCTATAGAGCCACACATTATTATATTCAACACATAACAATAACAGTAGAGAACATGCAAACTGTACAATGAACCCAAACAGTGAACACAATCACTGCGGCTGTGTGTTTTGGAGGAATTCTAGGCAGATTATTGTCTGTGAATATTGATCCGAGATTAGTTTTCCTGATGATTCTATGGACGTTTTTATACAAATCTGTCTGTATCGTGTATTTTTTTAGATTTTTTAACAATCATACAAAATCAGTATCTTTTTTTGACAATTTCAATGTTTTCTTATCTCTGAAGCTTGGCCATGAGCTCTTTGCTTGTCCTGCTTTTTCCATGCAGGATGAGGCTGTTTAGCAGAGTCTCTGTGGATATAACTTGTGTTTAGATCTTTTAACCTTTAAAATAACAGATTGAATTGGTGAGATATTGGCCTACTGTATATATTTTGAAAGTTTCCGTACCCTCCTTAAACCTTTCCCAGCAGCATAGATACTGCCAGTCAATAACAGAAGTAACTTCTATGATTTTGAGACCAGAACCTATTTTATACAGCCTATGTTAAGAACAAAGGGTGTACAATATGAGAAATGAAATCAATATTTTGAGAAAGTTTCTCATTTTAATGACTCACAGAATCTTAATTGTCACATTGGCACAAATGGGCTTCCATAGCTACAGTAACTTCACTGAGTGAAGAGAGTAAAGTGGTTGTGGAAACTTGTTGCACACTGAGCCCAGTGGGTGGCACACTCCTCTTTCCATTCCAACTACTAAGTTTTTCCACATCCTGTGCAGTCTCCTCCCGTTCGCTCCTTACCTTTAACTTCTCCCTGCTCGTCGTTAATATCTGTGTTCTGCTGATACGTTAGCATTATTAGAGGCTGCACGCTTTCACTATGTTTACCGCTCTAAAACAAAGAGCTCTCGGCGGGCTGTGTGTGCTCGCCGCGTTGTTGCTGTCGGTTTCGGGGGAGAAAGTGTACGAGAGTCGCTCCGGGATGATCCACGAGCTCCGGGCGGCGCTGGCTGACCTGGCCGGGGAGGGGAGGACCTACCTGGGCAGGCTGGCCGGGGAGCAGACGGTGCTGTCGGTACAGAAGGTGAGAGGGAGAAATGGAGTTTGAAGCCAGTCAGTAGAGTGCGACAGTGTGTGGTTCACTGAAGAAGGCTAATACGCGAAATATGCGCGTGTCTGACTTGAAATATTTATAGTATATCTAACAATATATATGTCTGGTGTATGTGAAGTAATTGACAATAAAGCTGACTTTGACTTTGACTTGACTTAATTCATGATTATGGTCATGTTAGAGGTGCAGTTTGTGCTGCTGTACCTGAAAGGGAAACAGCTCTCTGTACGAGGCAATAAAATAAAATAAAATAAATAACTGAAGGTCATGAAGGGAGGATTCATTGCAGCACTGTTGCATTTGACTATATTACTGTATGTAAATGAGCTGTAATCACATGTCACATATCATCATGTGAGGACAATATGTGAGGCACAGAGCACCTTATTCAACTCAGGTTTCTTTCTTTGTTTACTGTACAATGTTCTTGTTATAGTCAGAAGTAGTTTCCTTGGTTTCTCTGTGTCTTTCTCTGTGTGTGTTTGGACTCCTCCCACTTTCCCTCTCACCTGCTCACGTGTCTGACTGCTCAAACCTGCCAGCCATTAACTCATCAGTCCTGCAGTAAACCCCAGTTCTCCACCCACTCTCCGCCAGATCGTTTTATCTACAAGCCTTGTAGTGCCTTAGGGTCATCGCCTTCACTACAGCTACCTGCCTGCTCCTTACTATCCTAACTCTGCCTGGGTCTCAGCCATATCCTCTCAAGTATGTTATATTTTATATTAAAACATTTTATATTTACATTTTTTATATTCTTACTCTTCTACTTGTGTGTTGCCTCAGGGAGTCGGGCAAAGTAAGATTTTCATTGTACGTACAAACCACTG